TTCCACCTCAAGATGAAATCCACCAAGGTTTTGTTAGGCCTCTATCTTTCCACTACGAGATCTTGAATAGACATATGGTACTGTGCTCTAGTAAATCCTTTCATGAACAACTATTCTAACTCGATAAACGTCTTTACTGATCTGTTGGGTAGCTTGACATACAAATCAAATTCAATTCCTGATAGGCTGCTGACAAATTATCAGAAGATTAATGCTTCATTACCTCTTGTGTTTCCATAACTAGCTCTGTAGTGTGCCATATGCTGCTTGGGATTTCGATCTAGTCGAATGTCTTAAACTTTAGTGACAAAATCTTTGGGGTAAGGTATGACATCGAAATCCTCCTGGTAAGGTCTACCCCTTGAAATCAATGCACCACCCTTAGACTGGGCTAAGGCCTCCCAAACTTTTTGTTAGGTCAACTGTTTAATATCCTTCTCCGGTATGGTACTTGGCGAGGATTTCTTTTTTTGCTACTCATCTCCATTGGTGGAGGTAACTTATGTCGTTTCATCTATAATATGAACTATTTCTGGCTGGTTGACTCCTGTAGAAGCTACCTGTTGTAACTGGCACTATCCATGAATTGTAGCCATGGCTGCCATGGTGGAGGCCATCTCCTCCAATCACTTTTCCATCCGGCTGATTTGTTCATCTCTTAAGAAAACAGCCCTGCACAAATTATCCACGGTGTTTAGATGTAACGGCTAAGTAATCCTAAAATTATAGATGTTTAAAATTAATAAAGTTGACTCCACTTTGCAGCAATGCCAAAAAATTGATTCGTTATTTATGAAAAAGAAATTGAAGCAATTTTTGTTGGGATTCTACCAAAGAATACGTATCGTTATCAAGTAATAAAGACTTTCTGTTTTAGCCCAAAATATCGATCCCACGAGGAATGTGCAAATTCGTAATGGAAGTTTAAATCAAGAAATTCACAATAATAAAGAAAATCTACTACACTAATTTCAAATGTTTAGGGTGCTATCGAAACTAAATTACCAACTACTAGCAAAATTGTAAAGCAAAGCTAAGCAATAACTACCAAACTAACTACAACTACCAAACTATATTTTTGTGATGAAGTTGTCAGATATGAGAAAACATCTTTCCCACTAAAATGAGTTTTTGGCTAAAAGAGAGAGATATATTGTTTAAATATATCTTTTGCCAAGTAGGATCCATTTTTACATTCTACCCTTAGTCAAGTGTCATAGAGAATCGTTAGCTAATCATAGTTTTAGTCTCTAAATCTAAGGTTAGGCTGGGAGGATACTGACTCTCACTTCAGAGCTCCCACTTCCCTTCCCCTGAAGGCTAACTCTCGCTTTAGTTATTAAACACTAAAACCAAATAGGGGATTTTAGTCTTTCACCCTAGAATTTCCAATTCTTCACCCAGTAATATATATGTTTCCATAGTTTCCATATTTATTTGCACTCATATTTGCACTCAATTCCATGAACAAAACACTCCTTCATGGAATCAAATGTGATTCTCACTTTGTTGTGAAAGTCATACTCCATTTCCCGGATAGTATGTTTCACAATAAAAGTTAACATTTCAATTTGAAAAATCAAAAAGTAAATTAAGAATGGAGTGAAAAAATCATCATAATTTATTTTATATTTTAAAATTCGTACATCCAAATTATCTCTTCATTTCACTATATCTCAGAGCAGGGAGAAAGATAGAAAATTACTCAGACCTCATGAGAAAGATACAATTAAACACGAATTTCCTAAATAAAAGAAAATTCAAACAACAATATTAAATAAAAACCATTTATCTTTAACTCTTCTTCTAAGCAAATCCATTGTAGCTCCTCTTGGACTCTTTCTCTCTTTACAAGACTCTTAATTCTCTCTTCAAAGAGATTGGGAAGAAGAAATCTCTAACTTCTCTCCCTCTCCAACAACTCTTACGAGAAATCACTCTTAACAACTCTTACGAGAAATCACACATAAACTCACCGCACTACACAATCACACAACGGAACACTAAAGAAAATTTAATGACACACTGGCGGACAACTTTTTTTGATCAATTTCCACTCTAAATAGAGCATAATGTTGGTTTTCCAAGAGGTGTATAAAATAAATCTTCAAAAATCATCCAAATACATCGAATCTACTAGAATTTTGACTTGCACAGACTTCAACGTTGTCGGCACCCACGATGGCGCCGTTGGCGCTAGTGGTCCGAAATTAATTTGCGCTCTCTCTCAAATGGCACCGTTGGTGCCCAGTCTGGCGTTGTTGGCTACCCACTATTCTGGATTCCTTCCTTCATGATGGCACTGTCGGTGTCCATGCTGGCACCGTCAACGCTGAGTATTTCTCTACAAAATGCTATTTTAACTCCAAATTCCATCCTTTTTGCTTCCTTGTTTCTCCAAGTGCTAAAAACCATCAACCTGCAATAAAACATGAAAAATATCTCTTTTTAAAGCACAATACCACAAAAAATGAGTATAAATATAGGTATAAAAGTGCATATATTTTTTATGCATGAAAATCCCCCAAACTTAAATGTTACTTGTCCTCAAGTAACTCATTTACTACATTTTTTTTTAATAAGAGAATACAGTGTCTCCTACTTCATTAAACAAGAAAAAAGAGGGGTACAAGAGAAGGAAGCATACAAGTCCCTTCCCAAAAAACTTTTAACCAGAAAAAACTCTAATGAAAGGAAGAGCAACAGTG